CCACCTGATTTGAAGTCAGGGGTTGGCAATCTCTGGCCCCTGGGCCAAATCCAGTACAGTGCCTGTTTTCATCTGGCCCACCAACTAAAAATGGTTTTGACATTTTTAAAAGGATGAAAAAAGCAAAGGATAATATTTCGTGACATATGAAATTCAAATTTCATAAATACAGTTTTATACATTTTAATTGGAATCTAGCCTTGCTCGTGCATTTACTATCTCTGTGGCTGCTTGCAAACTAGAGCAGCCATTGAGATAACGACACAGATTCCAGGTCCAGGAAGCCTAAAATATTTGCTTCTCTAGCCCCGTACAGAAAATTTGCCAGCCTGTGATGTAAGTCCTTTAAAATCTTCACAGACATTCTCAGTGTGTGACTGAAACAGACCTTCTGATGGAACAGGCAATTTTTCCATGTTGTTTGGTGTCACTTTTTCTAGAAATAAAAAGTTCACTCCGTCATTTTAACATGGACGATGATGTGAACATTTGATTAGGTGTCCCTATTACATGATAGAAATGTTAAAAGTTGGGAGGGGGAGCCCTCATTGGTATGGAACGCTGAAGAATTAAGTAGCATTTTCCCTCTCCTGATCACCCCACTAAATGCCTGCTAAGGCATCGGTAGACAAGAGGGTCCAACTTAATTGTTCCACGAACAGCAAGTTTATAGCTGTCTTTCCTCTAAGACTGAATTTGGACTCGCCACCCTAGGTTTACATGACTATGCGTGCGTAACTTGGTTAAATTTGTAAATCATAGAATATTTGCTTCCCTTTAGGATAAGCCTCAACTGTGGAGTTTTCAATCTAGGGACAGTTCTAAACCATTTTGTTGAATGGCTAAGAAATGGCAAACAAGAGAGATATGGTTGTTGGCTTATAATGACTTGCAGTGACCGTCCTAGAAACCAACCTAGAAATATATTGTAGATTCATTAAAAGCCATATCCTTTGATTTGGGCCCTATGATTTCACACCTGGAAATTAACCCATAGAATTAAAACCAAAAATGAAAGAAAGGTTTATATTTAGTAAGGTTTAGTATTACATGTTTAATGGTGAAAGGCCAGAAATAAGCAAAAGAGAAACTCAGATGGGAAGGGTTGAGCAAACTCCAATAAATCTACTTGATAAAATATATAGTGATTAAAATAGTATTTATATGGAGAATATAAATACACATATCATGCCAGGTGTAAAAAACAGTAGGATATTCACCTTGTAAATTTGAATATGATTATCAGAATATAAATAATTTTTATAGAGAGCAGGAATGTAGAAGTGCCATATTTGTTAACAGTTATCACGGGTATGTAGCTGGGCTTCAAGGAAGTTCTGTTTTCCAATTTTTGGGAGTGTTTATAGGAAAGAGAAGTATGTTAAATTAAAATGGAATTTCCCCAAGGCTTGGAGGTAAGAACAGGCCCTCTCTAATCTGGATACATACTGACCATGGCTATTTACCCATGAGGGAGCACCTGCCCTCATGAGTTTGCAGCTCTTGGGGGGAGAAGTGGCCATAGAAAATTCATTGCTGAGTGGTGTGAGCCATAAAAGGGGAGAGAGGTTGCTGAGGAAACTTGAAGCAACAAGATCGAACTGGGAGAAATTCAAAAGTCAGGCTGGGAGATGGAGGAGGCAAGCTTGAGAGGATTTCAGTTAGAGCAAATGGTGTAAGCAGAGGAAGCTTGGAATCAAGTGTATGGTGTATCCCAGGAGTCTCTGCAAGTTCAGGGGTGGGAGCAAAGGGGAGTTAGTCTGGAGAAAGTGGGCCAGGATAAGCTGATAGCCAACCGTGGGGATTTTTATCCCCAAGGCAAGCAGAGACTGACACGAACAGGTTGAAATTGGAAAAAATAAAAAAACACAAAAACTGCCCAGACCACACAAAAACTGCCCAGACCACACTGCACAAGAAGGGGCAAGAATGGATACTGGGAAAACAGCAAAGAGGGAGGGCGGGAGTTGCACTAATCCAGGTAAGAGCTGATAGCTCAAAAATGCAGCCAAGGGGCTTTCTTTTGTATTAAGATTGTGATTGGACCACTGATTTGGCGGTTTAAAATACAGAAAGAACCCAAGACTATCGGGAGTTTTATTTTAAACTCTTTTAATTACACAGCAAAAATTTTACTTTTAAATCTTTTAATTGCGTAGTAGAGTTTTTTTGAAACCTTCAGGACAAATACATCCTGGGCGAGCCCCTGATGAGTATCACATGGTGAAAATATCATTTACTATTTTAAAATTGTGCAAAGTCACAATGTTAACAGTTTTCTAGTGAAGGGATGATGATGATGATGATGATGATGATGATGATGATGATGATAGGGTGCTGGACAAATGGCAGGCCTCAACAAACCTGAGAAGGGTAGAAAAAATATCCCATCAGCAGGGATTTGTTGGCAAGCAGCGACTAGGGGCCTGGTGTGTAACAGGCGTTTGGAAGTCCCAATGAGTGAATGAATGGATGGATGAACACATACTACTAACAACTGGATTTAGAAAGATGTCTGAAGATTCTTTTTTGGTCTTGGTCTTTTTATTTGGTCATGGTTTTATTATTTTTGTGTCCTGGAAACTACCCACCTACACCTACAGCTCACTAGCTGACAAGAAGGTGGTCAGGAAAGGCTGTTGATCAACAATTGGTCCTTAAAAAATATGGTTCGTCACACAGATCTCAAAATTAGGCAAGTTGGAACTTTGCCTCCTTTTCCTGAAAAAACTGGCAACCCAGAAAGCTTGCATTTAAATATTTGTCATAAATGCTATTTGGTTAAAATGTAGAATTTGTGGCTAAACATAACCTCATAAATATGCATTTACAATGCTTAGTATGAGCTTTTCCAAAAGCCAAGATGGAGAAAGGCCATTTTCCCAGAAAGGGGAAGGAAACATTTAGGGGACTATAGTTTAAGGTACTAGCTGACCCCCCTCCCCTTTATGGTGAATATTGATGGCAATGACACATAATACCACTCAGAGTCTGGTGGTTAAGGCATCATACCCTGAGCTTGAAATCAGCTCCGCCTGATTGCAAAATTCATGCTCCTTTGCTTTTTTCTTTTATGTCATTAAAGTCAATAAAAATTCATCTTGGTGTGTGGGAATGGGACATGTAGCTAGCTCTCTAGTTATAGATCTAGTTAGATCTCTAGTTGTGGAAGGTGCCACTACTAAAGTCCCTTGGAGATTGTTGCTGTAATCTCCTAGAAGGAGGGAGAAATAATAAAGATTCTAAACTCCTCCTTCTCTCCGTCTATTCATTTTAAAATTCGTTGTAATGAGTTAAGCAAAAACTGGTCTTTTTAATGAGCAAGAATTAAGGTGGCTCAAAGCATCTTTTCCATTCTCAATGTCCAATTGTTTTCAAAGTTGGCTGATCTCAGGGGTTTTACTACAGTTTGGTCACTGTCTGATTTCTCTTGTTTGAAAAGAGGTGTTTTTTTTTTAAAGATTTATTTATTTATGTATACAGAACTGGGGTCCAGGCCAGAGGTGCAGGGGTGAGGAGAGGATTCACCAGAGACAGAGTGGGGAGCAGAACAGGCAGATGGATGAAGTACACTGCTGAGGGGAGCAGCAGGAGGGACAGGAGAGGTCTGCCACACCATGTGGGTCACCTCCTTGGCTGGGGACTGAACCTGTGCTGTAGTGGCTGAGGAGACCTTCATAGCACTGTACTTTAACCCGTGGCACCACAGAGAGGCCCTGAAAAGAGCTTTTATCCTGAGTTTGTATCCTCCTCCTAAGTGCTGCCTCCTTCCTGCATGACTTGTTGGGGTGAATCTCAGCCTTGTCACAGGACTGTCTGTGGGCCCTGAGACTCCAAGCCTCTCTCGGTGTCTGTCAATTGACAGTGATGCACCCATCTGCCCGGCATATGGAATTGGTGGTGCTCAGCAAATCTTTGTTCCAGTCTGGTACCAGAGAATATTTGTGGATTGTTTTGTAAATTCTGCCTTTCCTCTCTTGTGCCCTCATTACGCTCCATCTCTTGCCTTGGAATTTAATTAATGATGTCTATCTTCCCTCCTCAACCAAACTATGAGCCTCTGGGGGCCAGAGCCAGGTCTCATTCGTCCTGGCGGGTTCCTCCCCTGGTCCCTGGCAGGGAGAGAACAGCAGCTCACACACAGGACTCAGTCAGTTTATTGGCCTGAGTCTTGTTGGCTGAGCTCACCTGTCAGTCCTGATAATTCTGTGCATGCACCTGAGGAGGTTCTGAAAATCGATTAATGAAGAAGGTCAAGTTTATGCTGCTATTGACAGGAGTTCCCCAAGCAGTATCATTGCAAGGATTTCTTAGTGTGGATTTTTCTTTCCCTTGGATGAAATGTTTAAGAAATTTTGGATTCCTACATTGTTCTAACCACATACTATATAAATAAAAATCAGCCCTAGTTAACACTTTTTTAAGAGGTTTATTTAAGGGTTCGTCATCTCATTTTTTTCTCGGGTGATCCCAGCTTTGATAAATAGGCTGTGGTCAGCTTCATAAACAGTGGCACCACAAGCAGTAATAACATCGCCTCCGTTTACACTGAGTTTCAGAATGGACTTCCCGCAGCCCTCCGGTTGATAGAATCTTGGTGGGAAAGGTTGTGACTCTTACTGATGGTTTTAGAACATTCACAGAACCTCTCCACCTCCGCAAGGGTTGGAAACTAGGTAGTTAACAAAAGCTACACCTTTGAGTTCAACTCATAAAATGTTTACTGGAGACCTACTCTATACCCCAGGTGTCATGATTCTTTTGATGTCCTGCTGGCAGACCTCACCTTTCTTGGTAAGAAAAGTCCAGTGTTGACACTCCCACTGCAGATGGTAGAACGTGGGAGCAAAGGATGGATTCCCCCACTCCCCCCCCAAAAGAATCAACATGAAGAAATCAATTCATTGGCACTAAAAAAACACCTTCTAGGAAAATGGGCTCTCCCCCAGGAAAAGCCCCCTCTGGTCCATCATTGCATCCTTCTTTGGGGCCTTTTTCAGGTAAGCCGTAACTTTGAGCTGGTTGGACGGGTGAACTTGGATCAACTGGAACAGATGAAGGAGAAGATGGAGAGTTCCAGCAGTGATGATGAGGACAAGGAAGAAGAAATGAGCAGCAAGGCTGATGACAGAGGTTAGTCTCATCCCTGCCCTCTGCACCCCAGATGGTATCCAGTATGTCCGTGGTGAGGCAGACGGGTGGCAGAAGGTTGCTGTAGAGGAACAGAAGGAATGATCCTTCTTAGTTAAGTAGCAGAACAGACTGACTGAAGAAACATGTCAGGGGCCATCTTAGTAAACTTTTACCAACTCTAGAAACACCAGAGAAAGAGACATTTTCTCCTTTTATTTCATCGAAGATATGCATTTCCATGATGCCGAGTTGGGTTTCTAGAGTATTGTGGAAATCCCAGTATTGTGCATATAAAGGAGTTTAAGTTAGGATATGTTACCTTAGTTACTGCAAATTATCAAAAACACATGGATGGCATAAACATGAGAAATAAACTTACAGATTTCATCCCAGTGAAGAGAAGAATGCTATTACCTCCCATTGTGAAGCATCATTATGTGCCGGGCCCAGTGTCGGTGGTTTTCATATGAGCATTTTTTCTTTAATCATATTTAAAGTAGACGGCTCTGCAATTGTCCTGCCTGGATTTGAATCCCAGTTCTGCTACTTAGTGTCTTTATGACCTTGGGTAAATTATTCTATCCCCTTGCATAGTCATCACGCGTAAAGTAATAATAATAACAACGACAATAATAATAAATCACCTACCTCCTAGGGTTGCTGTAAAACTTAAGTGAAATAATACACAGGGCATTAGCCCAGTTGCTGGAATATAGTAACTACCTATAATAACCCTGCAATATAGGTGGGGTTATCATCATCTTATAATCAGGGAAATAAAAACCCAGCAAATTTAGTTCATTCATTCAAAGTAAAACAAAACACTGAAGTCTTCTGCTTCCAAAGGCAAGATCTCTTTTCTACTATTTGCCATTTCCTTTGGGCAATGGATTGTCCTTCAATGAATTCTACCATGAGCCACTTTTGCAGAATATCCTTGTGTTTCCTAAGTCAGAGAGCCTAAGAAAGCTCATGTAGTGGCGTTTTCTTCCAGTTCTTGTCCCCACTGTCACCCCCGCCTTGATGCCACAGCAGGAGAACACAGGTTACATAGTGAGGGTCCAGTGTACCCGCTGGACCCCTGACCAAGAAGACAGCAGGGCCACAGGGAAGGTATACCCGCGCTTCGGCAAACCCCTGTGCTCACACTCAGACAAGCCAGTGGGCACGGGAACCATCACACCTGGTGGGTTGACTGCTCTTGAGAAGTCACAGCTTCTAGTAAAAGGAGTTGTGCTAGCCCATCCTGGACCTGACGAGCATGGTTTTAAATTTTCACTTTTTTCTCTTTCTTCATGTTTCACAGATAGGGTCCTTTAACGACTGTTGCCAGAGTTCTCTGTAAGAGGATGCTCTTGACAGAGGGTCTTTGGCCTCCTTTTACTGCCTGGTGCTCTCTGCTCTGCTTTTCCTCTTTGGCAATATTCCTCATAGCTAGAAGGACGCTTTAATCATGAAAGCAGAGCACTCTTGGTTTTAGAAACTAAGAGCATGGCAGAGGCAAAGAAGGACCTCTTTCGTCCTCCCTTTTCCTGTGACTTATTCAAAACAGAAGCAGAGAAATTTAGAAGAAAAACAGCCGCTGTCAGATATCGTGGGCCACCGGGCAGGTTTTCCTGCCTGCCACTCATGTCAAGCAGCCCCAGGGCATCAGACCAGCTCAGTCAGACCAGACAGGACATCCCAGTGGCCGAGCTCCTCTCACTGGGAAGTACAGAATCCACATTCATGAGCCTGAACCCCAGGGGAAGGAAAAAGTCTTGGAGTGGAGAAGCATTTGTTCCTCCCTCACAGGGTGGGGGTTTACATGAGTCTCTTCTAGTAATATGAATAGGAATTAGAAGCCTAAATCTTCCCGTCCCCCTCTCAATCCTTGAAATAACAGCCTCCTTTGTCTCATCTCCTTTGAATAGACCAAGAATCAATTTTCCACCATCTAGGTATATTCTTGCCAACAAGAAGAAACGGCACACAATAGCCTCCGGGTGTTTTTGCCAGACGGTCTGTCTTCTTAGGAGTAGGGAGCAGGAGGTGGCTTTAGCACAGCTCTCCGGCTGATGGGGAGCTATTTGATGTGTGACAGGTAATGATTGGCCTCCTCCTTTGAGGATGAAACAGCGTGAGCCATTGGAAAGAATAGATGACTGGTTTCATGTTTCCTAAGGGTAAAGGAGCGAATGTGCCAGGAGCATGCCCTCCTTGGTGAAACAGATTCCCATCAGGCACGCTCCCTCATTCCTGGGGCTCCTGGCTTCACCGCCACCCCATCCCCAACACAACATCCCTTCCCAACACAGAAAGCTGGAGAGAGGTCTGACCCATGCCACTGCTGGTCCTGCCTAGGAAGCTCAGAGGGAATTTGAAAGAGGAGAAACCAGGCATGAAGAAATCAAAATGAAGCCAAATTGAAGCCTCCCCACCCCCTCTCATTATGCAGCTGGGAGGAGTCAGGAAGGCATTCTGTTGATTTCTTGCCCAAGATAATCCCTGCTAAGGAATTAATGCGCAGAGCAGATGGTGCTGTCTCATTTCCAATGAAAAGAATCAAGGAAGATAGTCTGTGCAATTATTTTTAATGGCTTGTGTGGTGATCTTCTTAATTTGTGAGAAAATGTTTCATCTTTTGTTAAAACTGGTCCCATTCACTTAGCTTTTTGTGCTGAAGATTAAGGCAGCACAGAGACACCTATCCTGTTAACGTCATCCTGAGGCTTTTATTAGGTGGAGTATTTCAAACAGGAGGCATCTTCCTGTAACATCTCGTACGTACAGGCAAACAGTGCTGAGATTCGTAGGGATGACAAACATCTCCCTGTGCGCGGCCCTCACTTTGCACCGTGGCTGCAGAACCGTGTAGGTCCTGCTGTTTATTACCCACAGGAAGATTTGGTCCTCCTGGTATAATGAAAGACATATGGGCTGGGGACTCAGGATAACACAAAGGCCGTATAAACCCTCATCGTGGAGTTTGCCAGGAGGAGTGCCCTGTAAACAATTAGCTAGCCAATCCATATTTAGCAGACACCTAGCATGTGCCCAGAACCGCAGATGACACAAAACGACAGTCAGTATTTGCTTTATAGAATGGACGTGTCCACAAAAGTCGCATGTCCCTACATCATGGGAACATCACTGACTGAAGGGTAGCTATCAGTCTGGCTAGGATTCCTCTCTATCTGAGGATGGCTTTCACATCCTGGCACCACCCCCCCCCCCACCCCCATCCCTCCACCCCACCCCCACTCCCTGCTAAGACACTAGGTGCTCATGGATCTCATTCAGCGCGCCCAGCGCACCAGGCAGTCACCCTGGGAGGTGTTGATTATGATATCCGAGACAGATGACCGGAGCTGGAGTCTCCCCCTTCCCGGGAATGAGTCGAAACCCTGTGGTATATTAGGCATAATTGGTCGTGCTTTCTGTCTTCTGGCTATTCTTTTTAGCGAGCAAAGGTAAACCTGTGTCAAATAGAAAATGAAAAGGTGCTAAACTGTGAGGCACTGATAGGGAAAATCACAGAAGGGAGGGATTAGGTAGAGAAGAAAAGTGCTGAACCACCTTTGCAGTGGGCAGACAGGGTTCTTCTGGCAGGAAAAACCCAGACTCCTTGCAATGGATGCAGCTGGGTGTTGAGGAGTATTGGGAAAGCATGGGACATGGGGACCAGGGCCAGTTCTGAGCGCTACTCAAAAAATACGCGTAGGGGAGTAGAAACAAATGGAAGGGTGTAGAAGCTGCCTTCACCAATGGCTTTGCGTGAAGGTGGGTGAGGGGGTTTCCTAATGACTGTAGACTTCTTTTCTGACTCCCTCAGCACTCATGTGGCTTGTCTGCTTTTTTCCCTGTAGATCTGATGCGATATTCAGACCATGGGGCTCCGATGAACACTGAGAAGCGTTTTCCATGTGAATTTTGTGGACGGGCTTTTTCCCAGGGCTCTGAGTGGGAAAGGCATGTGCTGAGACACGGCATGTAAGTGGCGCCTTCACCCGAAGTATGAGGCAGCAGGGAGACCAGGTTCTTGTCTTGGTTTCCCTGATTATACACAGGGCCTGTATCTCCCATTTCTGGGAGGAGAGGCAGTTGTAAGGAGCTGGGTGTCTCCTGTTCTGTTAAATTTTATGATAGCACTCAGATTTAAGTTACACGAGGAGCCCATTTGGTGAGTGACAGGTCCTGCTCAAGTCCTTGCATGGTATCCCTTCAGCTTTCATTAGCCTGGCATTCTCTCCAGCGTGTGGATTGGTTCAGAAAATCAGAAGTTCCTGCCTCTGATAACTCATTTCCTGAGTGGCTTTGAGCACACCCCCCAACCCCACCCCTGACCCCACACACAAACCTGCTTTAGAGCTCTGCCCTTGGCTGAGCCAGCTTCTGCCTGCCTCCCAGGTAGGTGGGGGCACATCTGTAAACTACTCACAAGATCCTTGAACATGCAGCCATCCCCTGGAGAGAGTACTTGGGAGAGAGTAGGAGTTGGTCCTTTCCCTGAAGTGTCTAAACTCCAGAGACTATGAGCTGCCCATGGATTCCATCTTCAGGTATTTGTTTTGTGTTTGTTTCACCACTTTTGTTTCTAGACCTGGCCATTTGCTCTTTAACACCTGAGCTGCTCTTTGAGTCATAAGAATAGCCAGCCTCCAGCCTCCCAGCTTCCCCTGCTGACTTTGCACATAAGACAAATCTTGTTAATCACACATATGATCTGGTAGAAGAGAGGACATAAAGCCATTATCATAACCTGGAAACAAAGTGGTGTCATCAAAACACAGTGGAATGATGAATACATGTGTAGGTTGGAATAAGATTCAGGGGTACCAAGAACACATGGCTGAAACATAACCTGTGGCCAAGATCCATCATGATTTGTTTAACCCCGAAGACCCTAGAGTCAGAGAAGAAAATACAAATGTCTTTTGTGTTTCAGTAGAAAAATATGTCTACTCATCCTTGTCTACCATAAATGTTTTGCCAGGGCATTGAATGACACCAACCAGGTGAACAGAGAGGAAATCCACCTGAAAGAGAGCGTGGAGGACAGTATTAAGATGCCCTCTATTGAGGAAAAAGAAGATGACGAGGCAATTGGGATAGACTTTTCCCTAAAGAATGAAACAGTAGCCATCTGTGTAGTGGCTGCTGACAAAGCTCTCCTGGAGAATGCAGAGGCCAAAAACGAATAAGCGTTTGGTGAAATTCTGAATCAAACCTTACTTGAACCGTGATGAAAAAGTGGGAGGGCCAGCTTGGGCTGAGAAGGGGGGGTCAGAAAAGAGAAGACAGAAAAAAGCTGCTTTTTAGGACTGAACAATCTATTTTCAAAGCACTGGTACCTGTGTGAGTGAGTATGTAAATTAAAGTTATTTAAATGGTTGGAATATGTGGCTCTTTTCCATCACTACACCTTTTCTTCCGGATCTGCATCATGAAGTTTCACTGGTGGCAGAATATGGAAGCCCTTCCTGTGCGCCGGTGCGCTCTGTGGTGGTCTTGGACTGATGCAAAACAGACGCTCCGTGCAGGAGAAGACTTCTCTTAGGGGAACAACTTTTTGACGCACAACTTTCGGTGCGTTTTTCTAGTTTTAATACCTTAAGCTTTTTCAAGACCTAACTGCAGCCGCTTTGGGAAAAAACAAAACGGAAAACAAAAAAAAAACTGCTTTGCATAAAACAGTCACCTGTTTCCTAGTACCTCAAACTTAACCAAGGGAATTCTCTGCATTGTCAGTACTACCTGTCGTCGTCGTGGTTAAAATGTAGAGAGAACTGCTGGGCAAGATGGTGAATGGAGAAAAAAAAAAAGAGTTTTAAAGAAAGGAACACAAATTGTGCTTAAAATCCCCACGAGGGTTTTATTTCTTAAAATACTGTGATTTTTTTAATTATTTTAGTAAAAAACAAAACAAAAAAAAGAAACAGACTTTAATTATTAGCTAACTGTTTGTGAATTGTCATCCTTTATTCCAGGTAAGCTGTTTATTAGTGTTCAACTATAATTTAGAATTTGGTAGATTCATGTGAGCTAATTTTAAGGTGACTGTGGAGTTTTTGTTTGCCACATGTTTATTTTCTATCAATTTGAGTGTTACAAACACAGCACAATTCAGTTTTTCATATAAATTGTTTTTTGTGTGTGTGTTGTTTTTGTTTTCATTTGGGGGCAAGGGAGATTTAGTTTTTTTGTGAATAGGAATGTTTTTATTTTAAACATGGAAATAACAAAGAAGTTAACTTTTTTTTTTATTATTTAACTAAAGAACCAAACTTTTCGGCACAGCTATGCAGCTTGTGGACCAGATGAGGAAGTCCTCTTCACCCTTTTGTTGCTTGTCAAATTAACCCATTATCCGTCTCACACAATAATTTCTGTTAGGATGGGCTGACTTTTGTGTGTGAATTTTAAATCTGTGTTCTGTTTTGTTTGCATTGTGTTGGGGGAGGGGTTTCTCATTTATCTGGGGGACAAAGGGATGTGCAAGGATCCCATCCCTTTGGTGAGCGTGGACAAGAAATACTTATATCCTACAAGGAGCCTGGAGAACTACTTTTTTTTTTTTTTTTTTTTTTTAAATCTAGCTGCCAGCTGCTCTGTTTCCCCATATTAACTTTTTCAGGAGGAAGCCGCTTAGACTAAATCTGAGTCTACATTTATAATATGTTCTGATGGTGAACAAAAGGTTTCGTTCCAAAAAGTAGTAAAGAACTTTCCTTGAAACCTAGGTTTTAGAAGCCTGTGTGTGTGTGTATGTGTGTGAGTGTGTGTGTGAGTGTGTGTGTGAGTCCTTTGGTTTTCATGTTTTGTTTTGTTTTGTTTTTGTTTTTTTAACTTGGAGGGTTGAGGGAGGGGGAGGGAAGGAAGGGAAGGGAATTACTGAGATGACAGTGTCCCACACAGCTTCAAATAAAATCCATGGAAAGGTAGTGCATTTGTGGAATAAGTGCTTACTTGAAAAGCATGTTCTTCTTTTATTTTCTTGCTGTTATGAATCTTTATTCATAGGGCATTTATTTTTAATTTAATTTTTTTTTTTTTAGGGAGGGGGGCCATCATGTGGAAACCAGAAAATGGGGAAACTGTGAACTATCTAAACAAAGATTCATTTTGTGTCTATCTTTGTTTTTAATTGGCCTCATTTCAAATGTATTTAACAGTTCCATACCTGGATTGGGTGTTTGTAATGGTTACCCAAAACAAACAAAAAAAAGAAAAAGGAAAAAAAGAAAATAATTGTGACATGCTTTTATCACTACTTTATTTTTCAAATAACATGTAAATATTGTAATCCATTGGATTTTGTTTTGCTAACCTGTTAATAAAAATATGGGACCATTATCCTTTTAACAAGGCTAGAATGTCATTTTTTTTCTTTTTTTCAAACATATACCTGATATTTTGTGGCCACACATTTTGGATGCATTATTATAATTCTGTTGACTGTAATGACATAGAATTTACAACATCTTTTTTGGTTTAATTTATACAGAGGACATTTTTTTTCAGAGCTTGAGAGAAGAAAATAAATAGCAAAATGATAACCTTTTGACTCCAATGATCAGTGTTTCCCAAAACTTGATAAAGATAGGGAAATCCTGAGTTCTTGAAGCCAAGGGTTTAAAAAAACAAAAAAACACACAAGTAGGTTATTCAAGTTGTTTGCAACATACATTTTGTAATGAAATGTGAGAAATTAATAAAGAATTTTTTTCACATGTGTCTATGTGCATCTGTTGTTGATCATTTACAGATAAGACTACAGATAAGAAGTATGGAAATAATAGAGCTTTGCTTTTCAAGACTATGTACATGAGACATAGCTCAAAACATTCAGTCAGCACAGGTATGGACAGTAAAGGAAAAATTAAAATGAATTGTAAGCTGAGATTTTAAAATGTTAATATTTCTGCATTCAATATTTATCACCAATTGGAATTTTCAAAGGAAATACTTTCAGTGTAACGAACTTCAGCTACGAGAAATGCTAGTGATAAAATGTCATCTGGGGCCCCTGGATCCATGAGCAGGGACTCACTATAATTCACAGCCATTGCCACAAACTCTTTAACTATGCCTCCTACCACAGTAATTATCATTAACTTATTTGAGCTACCCTGTTATAAAAAATAATAATCGTCATAAAACATAGAAGAAGAGCAAATTAAAATGGCAGCACTGATTGTGTAACTCAGAGCTTAGAGATTCAGAGCTGATTTAGAATGTCTTGTCTTTGTTGGTGTTAGAAGAATGACTTCTGGATCGTTCTGAAAGTTTAGTCCTCACCCCTTTCCTAGTCTTTATCCCCTTCATAAAGAAAAAGAGGACATAATGAGAGTATAAAACACAACTAGGTAAGATGAAGCAAGATCTAAAGGGAAAATGAGACAAAATAGCAAAATAATAGCAGTAGAAAGTTGGCAAAAATGCATTGCACAAGTCTACAGAAGCCACAAATTTGGCACTGAGCTTCCTGGTAGGCAGGACAAAAACATCAAGAATCACATTCATGGTAACATTTAAATACTCAAGAAATGCTCAATCTTTTCTAGAACTGCAGGTTGAAAAGTTTATGTGTATTACCCTAAGGTGGTGGTGGTGATGTAATGAATTTCTCTGTTGCAAAGAAATTATTCTTTCGTGGCTGCCCTTAAATATTTAATGGACAGTGTGTTTATTGAGTTTATGTCTAATGCAGACTCCTACTTTGTCTTGTGGACAGGAAGGGGAACTTACTGGTACAATATTTATGGTAGGGCTACAACAAAAGCTTTTCTTTAGCACTGTAGAGGTTAATTCTCGCACAAATTTCCAGTGAGGGTTAGATGGGGGAATGTACCCTTTGATCAGGTGACTCAGGAATCCGAAGTCTTCATCTGATCATGCTGCTATCTCAACCATGAAGTAGCAAACTTTTCCTATCTCACTTTATGGGACAGACCTGGTCGCACAGCCTCGCCTGTCTACCAGCAGCTAGGAAGTACAGTCTGTGGACCAGTGTACCCAGGAAGGGCCCAGGGGCTGCCAACCTTACTACAAACTTTCCTTGTTCCTTTGAAAATGGTAGGAGGTCGAGAAACCTTTTGTTCTTTGCAAATCATAGGATGTTAGTCCCATTGTCCATACTCTTTAACTGGTAGTCTTGAGTAATATTTGGTGCTAAGCATTGTATAATGACAGGCAAGCAGATATGGCTCCTATCTGTTGACAACACATGAAGAGCGAGGACGGATACCGCAGCATGGAGATGACTAATGACTAGCACGAAGAACTGGGGCTGCCAGACCATACTCGTGGCTGTGGCTTCTACCTACCCCTCTCCTTGATGCTGGCAGCCTTGATTATGAATGTTTCCCTGTCTGACTTAAAAGACCCATTTGAATTGGGGAGATACAGGAAAAATTGCTTCTTCAAACAATCTTTAGCACTAATCTTAAAAATTATCAAAAGATGTGTTCATCTTGTAGCTCTTCATATTTCAGGGCGGGTGTGATGGAACAGTACTTGTTCACAGAGACCATGAGAAACCTGGAGGTATGATGCTTCCCATTCCTTGAAAGTGGCCATTCTCTTCCCCACACCCCAGCCTGACCATGCTGTTCCCTCTGCCTCAGTGTTGAGCCCCTTTTCTCTACTGGAAAGTACCTGCCCTTTGAGACTCAGCATAAATGTCACTTCTGATGGGAAGCCTTCCCTGACTTCTTCTGTGTCACATGATCCAGATGGTCAGTCCCCCTACTTGGCACGTGCGCCCATCTTCATAAACATCTATGGAAGACGCTCTGCCCCTCCCCCACTCCGACTCTAACTGTAAGTAGCTGAGACACATTGCTGTCAGATGCAGCTAGCCTTTTTAAATTCAAATATATTCCTGTTGATACCAAGTGTTAGTGTTCGTCTGATTTGGCATCAGTGTGCTACATTTTCTTTTGGAGCTCGAGATTGCTTTTTTAAATATCTAAGTAAAAATATGCAGCTTGGTAGATGAAAAATGTCTTTGTCTGCAACTCCAGCCTTTCTCTGAGAAAACGTCAGGAACTGAACCCCAGCTTCCCTCCTCTTGGGGTCTTTATCACCATCCTCCTTTCTGTCCTAGAGGTGAATAGGAACTGAATGGGGAGGTCCACAGGTCTGAAGATTCTATAGAGGGGTCACCTCTCCAGAGGTGAGGGAGCAGAAGCCAGAAGGGGTGGTGGTGAAGGTGGAGATGATGTGTGACTGATAAGCCAGGAGATGAGTGGATCAGGCGGGTGCTGGCAGAGGCAGGCAAGGGTGGGGATGGGAGCTGGAGAGACAGAGTTAAAGACTTTCAGAATACAAGTGGTTTGGACATGTTTATTACAGTGGAGGGAAGGCGCATGGCAGCTGCAGGCTAATGACATGCAAGCTCCTGTTGGGATCCAGGGCGCAGTGGAACAACTGGTGTTGCTGATGAAGAGGGGCCTTTATTCTCCTGAAAGGGGGAATGAAGTCACAAGGGAGGGAAGGTGTCCTGCTTTTGTAGATAGGAGCTTGGGGGTGTGGGGGTGTTGTGTCCACTAAGCAAGCCTGTCTACAGTGAGGGGTGGGAATGAGATGGCAGGCTAGTTGAGACTGGAGCTGCTGCTTAAGATATGTGTAAGGCCTGGGTGAAGGGGACAGGGAGAAGGCAGAGTTGAAGGCCAG